TTAGTTTTATATATTATTTTGTAAGTATAGTGTAGTTTTAGTGAATTTGTGCCATCAAGACTATTAGAACAGTTTGCATCTTTGTCGAAGTTCGATAGTTGATGTTTTCTCCTGAGAGTATATCTATGGAACTTAATAAGGTAATTTCATTATATTTTTCATGTTACACTTCCAATATTTTTGTTGTATTGACTCTTTTATATCACTACATATCAAATAAAGCATTTATATCACTTGATATGTTATGTACGTAAACAATTTTTTGTGGAAATTTACCTAAAAACGTTCTTATATATTTCTAGTTCTAAATATTATTAATATACATAATGGACACAGATGGATGATTGTCGAACGACAACAAATACAGATTAAAAACATCCCGAGTCCCGCTTTTTATTTTGTATCCTCTTTGGTAAACACTATTGGAAAAAAGCCAAATATTATCAGTTGGGATGAGCATAAATTTCGGAGAATAAATCAGATGCACCTAAGTTAAACAGTGAAAGATTATTGTCTGTATTCAAAAAATATAATAATGATGTAAAAACATGGACAATCAGCTTAGAGACTCAATTTGCCAAGCAATTGACAGATCCCATTGTTCCCCTACCACCAGGATACCTGTGGTCGCAGGTAACGAAAAGAATCTACACTCTCCACAGCAATGTTCGGGACAAACCACAACTTCGATTAATTGTGGTGATGCTAATAGGCCATTGTCACTTCAACAAACACCTATACAACTTTGATATTAAGATTAAAAAAAGAATTATTGTGAATTTATTATATAAATCAACCAACAACAATCATCAACAGTCTGTAGACCACTTGCTTTAACATCATCCCAAGAATGGGCCGGCTCTCCCCCTGCAATACCATGACCACACAGAAGACAGGCCTGAAAAGGAAGGAATTCCGCGTTTCGTCAGCACATTCTGTGCGTGCCGGAGGCCTAATTTCAGTCCCTTTCTCTTCGTACCCTTTTTATTGAGGGCTCCAATTCAGGTGGTGGATCTTTTGCCACTTGATGTTAATAAAACGCACAGTATTTTGGTGTAATGCTACTTTCCCATTGTTATTTTAATAAAACAAATTTTGATATAATAAATTACTAGTATATTATTATTAACATCCTATAAATCTATACTATTATAATAAAGCGTAAGGCACACTTCTTTGTTGCCTAAGATGTCAGCAATTACAATGTATTTTCGAAAAATTCATTTTTTAATCAAAATCCCTACACTTACGTCACGCATTTGGCTATATATTTACGCGCTATTAAACTTGGGGGCAAATAATTTGGATAAAAACCCTAATGTGGGAAAAAGACCATAAGTTGCTGCCAACAATAAGTAAGCAAGATTGCCAAGGTTTGTCATGCCATGTCATTTTGTCAAAATTTTCATAAATTCATGCGGATGAAACCGTACAGGAACAGCTAGTTCACTAATGCACAAGTTATTATTATTAGAAATATTTCCCAGAGGATTATATATTATAATCGTGTAAATACTTAGGGCACTAAAGCATGCACGCGGGTTATCCCTTTTAAACTGTATGGTCTGACTTAGTGCAGAATGATTTAAACTTTGATTGGAACAAAACCAACTTCTGTGGAAGATAAGTCTCCTTTCGACCTACGGTTTGGAACGACGCTGCAACTAAAACATTTGAAGACCGTCAGTTCAATATGCATATTTCCAAACTTAAAAGGAGGAAAATGCAGAAGAAGGCACAAAAATGCATCATTGTTGGGCACTAACTTTTTCTCGGGAATAAATCCGCGGGAAATGAAAAGA